CTTGCCGTGTGCGTGAAAAGTTTGAACCCCAAAAGAACTATTTTTTTGTTTACCACCCGCATGGCATACATGGGTTTGGTGCGATAGCGAACTTCACCCTCGACGCGACGGTGAGCTCACTTCTTCCGGGCATAATTATCCACGCACAAACGCTCAAGCTCAACTTCTACATTCCTTTTTGGCGCGAGCTGCAGCGTCTTTGCGGCAACGGGGACGCCAGTGAGGGCTGCATCCGCCGCACGCTGAGGTCTGGGCCCGGCGAGAGCGTTTTGCTGGTTGTTGGGGGTGCGAGGGAAAGTCTCCTGGCGAGCCCGCGAACCAACGAGCTCAGCCTGCAGAGCCGGAGGGGATTTGTGAGAATTGCACTGCAGGAGGGCTCCCCGCTGGTTCCCGTGTATGCGTTTGGAGAAAATGACGTTTACCGGATTCCCCGTGCGGCGGGCTCCAGGTGGTGGAGACGCGTGAATGCGATCCTCCGCAAGGTTTTGTCCTTTGGTTTCCCCCTGTTTGTTGGCCGTGGCTGGTTCAATTACTGCTTTGGTGTCCTGCCTCACCGCCGCCCGATCTATGTGGTGGTCGGGGAGCCGTTGCCGGTGCCAAAGATCCCCCAACCGACGCCGGGGGACCTGCAGGAGTGGCACGACAAGTATGTGGCGGCACTCAAGCGGCTCTTTGATGGGTATCGTGCCGTCTACGACGTGGAATCCAGCGGCCTGCGTATTCACTAGCGTTTGAAGTGGTGGCTTCGAGGAGTATCTTCTATTTTCCGTGTATATTCGTGTGTCTGTTTGTGTATGGTGTGGGAAGGGGGTTGTAGACGTTTGGCTTTATGCGCACTCGTCTGATTGATTTTATTTTTTGATTTTTTACACGTGACGTGTTTATTCATTATATATTATACAAATTGTTTTCCCCAGGTATGTGTGCGCGGAATTGTAGTGGGATGTTTTATTCACATTCATGTTATTTAGAATTGAATGGAATGAGGGTGCTTAGGCCTCATTTGAGTGTTTGCTCTTTTTTCTTTTGTTTGTTGGTGTTTTTTTTCGGTTGGTTCTGACTTGTACTTCTGTGTGACCACATATATAAATATATATATCAATAGTGTATAGCTGTGTTCTAGTGTGTGTGTGTGTGTGTGTACAATTACAGATACATACATTGCGACAGGGAATAAGGAAGGGAAAGAGTGGGGAAAAAAAAAACAAAAAACGGGAAAGCTGGGCGTAACGAAGAAAAAATGGTGCTTATGTCAACCTACCGTAACAGCAGGTTTGTGTCAAAGGACTTCCTGCACGGCCCTGTTATGCGTTTTCGCGCTCTTGGGGAGTACTACTTTCAACGTGCGTGGAACGGCACGCTGAACTGGACCCTTCCTGGGGAGTACCGGTTGTATGCCGTGATGATCCCTTTTATTTACTTTTACCACCGCTGGCATCAGGAGCACAAACTTGACATTGACCACGTGGAGAAGGCAATGATCATGCGGTGGGGTGGCACACTGGAGGAGGTGCGTAAACTATCGGCGAAGGACCAGCTGCGGGTGCGCTGCTTTACTGACATAGAGAAGCTCTACTCGGCGTATGGTCCGAAGGACGTCAATGTGCAGCCGGAGGGCGACAGTCTGCCCGGAAAAGGTTTGTACAAGAAGGCCGGTGAAGGACATCACCACTGAGAATGTTTATTTTATGTTGTTAACATTATTATTATGATCACTTTTTCTCCGTCTTATTTTTATCATTATTTTTATTTCCATGGGTTGCTGTTTGTCTGTGCACTGTTGTGGGATGCAAGGGGAAATAGCAAGAAAAGGGGGAGATAAATTGATGAAGAAAGGGAGAGAGAGAGAAAGGGATGGATCAGTGTATTGCCAGTGAAGAGGGAAATGTTTAGCGGAATAGTAACTATTTGACTATGCACATGTCTGCATGTGTGATGACAGAAAGACGGGGTGAATGCGGAGCAGCCAAACTCATTCTGGCAATATATTTGGCATCCACACGCGTGCATCCTGCTGATAAAAAGGAGTTTATTCCATCATATGATGTTTGGGTTGGATAGGGGAGTTTCCATTGCATTGAATTGAAGTATATGGTTCTGCAATGACGTCTTTCTTTCCTTTTCTCTCTTTTCCCATCTCTCATGCACGAAACATTGGGTAATGAACGATGTATTGACAGCTGCAGCCTTCATACTTCGCACATTTCTCTACGACACACACACACACACCGAAACTAACAGCAACAACAACGAGGGATTAGCTTGTGCGATTATTATTATTATTAGTTTAAAAATTTGTTGTTGTGTGACTGTGTGTGTGTGTGGAGAGGGGGGAAAGGGGTGCTTTGATTTCTAAAAGGGAAATGGCACAAATGATGGGAACACTTGTGCTTCCGCCATTTGTCGCTGCGGCCATCGTTGAACACGCAAAGCGACGTCGCAACTCCGCCGGGTATCTTGTAGGGAGCCGCAGCGGCAATCAGATCACCGTCACGGACTACATCCCTTGCACACATGAGTCAACGAGCGATGTTCGCACGCGGGCCTACGCGGAGGAACTCAAAGAGCGTGTTGCACTGAAGAAGTGCTACACACCGAGCATCACACTCGTCGGTTGGTATGCAGCTGCAACGCCGGAGCCGGGGAAGGAGCGGGCCTTTGATCTCTGGTGCCAGGCACCCGGCGCGAGTTTTTCGAAAATCCGCTCGCACAATCAAGCCGTCATGTTGCTTGGGCGTATGCCGACCGCGGCGGACCTCAGCATCCGCTGGGAGGCGTACATTACAAGCAATATGAACGACGGGGACTCCCTTCAGTGTGAGCGGATGCAGCAACTAACCGTCTGCGTCGAGGCGGAAACGCCGTCGATGAATGTGCTTCTGGCCGAGATGATTTCGAAGACCCTCTACAACGGCAGCATGCCGTACCCCACGAACCGCATCACAAATCTTGACCGCGTCGCGGTAGAGGCGGAGAGCAGAGAGGCGGAGTTTGGCAGAAAAGACAACAGTCGAAACGACGCCGAGCCGCGGCCGGTGGAGGCCGCACTACTCAACGTGCAGAACAAACTCCATCAGGCCATCTCACACGCCCGCGCCATTCTCGTGTCGGGAAATAAAAACAAAAGTGAGAGACAAAATGAGAGCGCCGCTGTCGTGGAGAACTACGAGGCCATTCTGGCGGAAAAAAGTCAACAGAGTAGCCGCGATGACTTCATCACGGAAAGCTATAAAGATGCGCTTATGATAAAATACACCGCGGCCCTCCTTCGTCGTCATGTGATGGAGATTGAACGCCATGGACGTCAGGAATTGAAGGAAAAGACGCAACACGGCCACGGTCACGGCCAAAACAACACGTCCAGTCCACGTGGCCCACGTAAACTCGGTGCGTTTCGATAAAAAACAATTGCCTGCGATAAACAGGATGGTGGAGAAGGGAGGTGAAAATGAGAAGGAGAAAAGACAAGAGGGATATGTTGGAGGGATAGCGTGCGCGGTTTCTATTTTTTTTTTTCTTTCGCGTTCTTTACATGTCCATCCGTTTCTTACTTTCTCCACTTATTTTTTCTTTTCTTTTCTGTGTGTGTGTGTGTCTTCACTCTCTCTGTCTGCATCTTCCCTGCATCATTGCGTGTAGCCCGGTGAGGGCGTGAAGGAAATGGCATCGATTAGGGTCCAGGTGTTGTGTGGGTGTTTGTATTGGAAGCGGCGTGTCTGTGTGTCTCGCGAGGTGTTAACAGCGTGGCCCCGCCTCTTTTCCTCCTCATGTATCCTTCTCCTCTGCACATACACGCACGCACTCATTTCCTCTGCAGCATTTATTATTATTCTTCTTGTTGGCGCTGGTGAAGTCTATCCGAATGCAACTTTGTTTCCATTTGTGTGTAGGTGTGGAGCCGCTTATTTATTTCTTAAAAGTTAAGAATAGCGGTAGGGGAGAAAATGAAGGGTGGAGAGGCGTGTGCGTTGAGGAGCAAAGAGGAAAAGCGGGAGCGGGGGAAAGGGAACGAATAATAATAATAATAAAGAAAAAGGAAGCCGTTTTCACCGCCAGAATAAAAACAAAGAGAGAACATATATATATATATATATCTAAAGAAAAAAAAAACATTTTATGCGCTCTCGTTCTTTCTCTCTCTCTCTCTCTCTCACTTGCTTTCTGCATATGTGTTGCATTATTATTTTGTTTTTCCTTGCGATGATATCTGACGTGTACGCTTTGCATGTGTGACGTTCTTTTTTTTTTTTTTTAACCCCTTTTATTATTCCCTGTTGCGGCATGGGCTCTCATTGCATACATATATATGTGTGGGCCCAGAGAATAAGAGGAAAGAGCGAAAAATGCCGATTTTTGAACGTGTGCTGCGCCACACGGAGCCTGAGGCGTCGCACGAGAGTCTTAGACTTGAGTGGGCTTTTGGCCTGCACAAGGACTTTCGGTCCGTTATTCACAACCTCAGTACTTCCCCGTCAGAGCGTGTGGTGTTCTACACGATTGGGCACATTGGTGTCATTTACGATGCGGTTCAGAATACCCAACGCCACTTGATGGGCCACCGCAACATGATCATTGCATCCGCATGCAGTCGTAACCGACGGTTTGTTGTGACAGCGGATAGCGGCTCCGGTCAGGCAAATTCATCCTCGTTGAGCAAAGACTCGATTGTCCAAAGCAGCACTCAACAACAGGGATCGACTGGCGTTGAGAGGATCGAGCAGCGAGAGGAGCGTGACGTTGAGTATGACAGTTCTCTGATGATCATCTGGGAAACACAAACGGGTACGCCTGTACGTACGATACCTACCGGTCTATACGGTGGAGTGGTGGCGTGTGCGATGAGCCTCGATGGCATGTACATTGCAACACTGAATCGACGCATCCCGCAGGAGATTATGCTCTGGGGGTGGACGGCAGAAAACGAGGTGGATGATGAGCATAGTGCCACCGATACCCTTATAGAAGAACTTGCGTTAGCTAGCAACATTACACCGGAATACCGTCAATTGATTCCTGCACAAGATGAGCAAACGTCTATTCGCTTCTCCGAAGATGATCCACACCTTATTGTGACGAATGGATTACGTCGTGTACTTTTCTGGTCCTGGGCAGAACGTGAATTGAAGTACTACTCCCCACCGATTCTTGCAAAGAATCTGAAGGTGGCGGTGGGAAACTTCACACAGACGATGTTTGTTCCCGGGACAAGTATGGCATGCAGCGGGACGGTTGATGGTGATGTGATTCTGTGGGAGGTGCAGCCACGTGATCGTGTCACCAAGGAGCAGGACAAGACGATGCTTAAAATGGTGCGGATCCACTCAACCGGTGTCTCGTTTCTGACATGGACAAGTGGTTACATTGTCACGGGTGGCATTGACGGGCACGTCAAATTCCTCGACCCGAAATTGCGTCTTGTTGCGTGGTTTGAGGACCTCAACGGTGGGGCCGTGACATCTATAAGTTTTGACCGGCCTCCATTTATTGCCCTGCAAGCGATGGATGAACTGCGAAGAGAGTTTAAGACAACAACGCAGAAAAAGGCAGCACTTGTAGGGACAACTGCCGTGGGGGAATTTTCGGCCCCCGATTTTATGATCTCCACCGCCCATGCCATGATCATTGACGTGGCAAGTAAAGCCTTCCATACGGGCAACGCTGAGCTGTTGCGCGGCAAACTCATTGTACAGGGACAGGAAAAAGGCATTCACTGCATTGCCGCCCATCCGAAGCTTCCACAGCTTGCAATTGCAGGGCATAGTGGTGATGTGCATATATGGGACTATATCTCGAAACGGGTGTCGCTGCTCAGTATTTTTCAGGGATCACACATCAATTGCATGGCGTATGATCCACAAGGGGTCTACCTTGCCATTGGCTGCACAAACGGCCTCGTGAAATTTCTCGACGCGACCACACTGGAGGAGCGTAAATCCATTAAACCCAAACGAACCGACTGTGTCACGCGTATGGCCTTTTCAGACGCTGGGAATCGACTGGCCACGGGAGACTCAGCAGGCTGTGTTAGTCTCTATGAATTTGATCACCCGCAAGGCAACACAACGAAGCCAATGGAGTGGGATATCGTGGGTCGCCACAAGACACATCGGGCGGCCATTTCTGGACTCCAGTTTGGTGACGACGGTGGTTTACAACGTCTTCTCTCTGTGGGGGAGGACAAACGGCTGGTAGAATATGATCTGATTGACTCAGAGCCAGAGTCTGGTTTGCTTGTGCAAACGGCGCATAAAATTACACAGGGGTCTTCTCCCACAGGGTTCTTGTGGGTGAGAGAAAATGGGCTTGTTTCAGACATGAGACGCCGCATGCAAGAGAATAAAGACGCGCCAGATGATCTTCTTCTTGTGGCAACAAGCGACTACAAAATGACGGTGTTTTTAAGTGATTGGAGTCGTCAGTGCATTAAATCTGTGCTCTCCCCAACTTTTGGGGGTCCCGTGTCGGAGATGTTTACAGTTCCCTTGCTGCCAGGGAGTGAAAAACGATGTTTATTCTATGCGACACGGGAGAAGGTAATTGGACTTGTAAAGTTGCCACTTCTGGGCGACCCATGCATGTCAACTGGTGTTGTGGCCCATCCAGGCAACATCACTAGTGTTGCAAGATCTTATGACGGCGCTTTCGTTTTCACCGCTGGCGGGGATGACCAGTCGGTGATGCAATGGCGTGTGAATGGTGAAGGAATTGCGCCCCCCGACGAAATTGCGCTGGGGGAAAGCGCATTTATTGAGGGGGGTGACGAGGTTCCACTGGATCACCTTATAGCCGCCGTTGAAGGTGGACGAGAGGGACAATTCATGCGTGAGATTGTGGACTATTTTTATTACGCCCAAATTCGGCTTCAAGGTGAGGAAACAACCGCGAAGCGTGAGTTGTTGGGGGCTGTTCCCTTCTCTCAGCTCCCCAATCTCTTTCGGGCGCTCGGCTACTACCCATCCGAGCTAGAAATTGGTCGCCTGACGTACGAGGTAGCGAACATTTACGGCCCTTTAGAGGAATTGGTTGAAGAGTGTGATGTGGGGAAAATTCCGCTTAAGTTCTCGCAGTTTATGCGTTTGTATGTCAACTACCGTCCTATCTATGGCATTACTCGCCAAGATATTGAGTCTGCCTTCTGGGCGCTCGGTGCGGACGCGGAAACAGGCCAAATTGCGCGGGATGTACTTTTTAAGTTGCTAGCCACGCATGGCGAACCGTTGCAGCAGGAGGAAATTTCTGCGGCACTGCGATCGCTGCTGGGCGAGGGGGTACGGCTTGACATGCTCGAAGACACCATCACTGCCCGCGCCTTTGCGGAGAATCTGCTAGGATTTGAAGACTACGAGACGGTGGGCGCGGAAGCGAAGGTGCCGGAGGAATCGCAGGGCAATAACGATGATGAACTGTTTTTGGATGAATGAGCACGGCATTCCTTTCTCGTTTTGTTTGTTTGTTTGTTTCATTCTGACGATGAGGGCTCGTAGGAAGGACGAATTCCTTACCTTCTTTTTTTTTTTTTTTTTTTTTTCTTCCTTTCTTTCTCACTCGATGCATCTGTTTAAACCGACGGAGGGACGAAGAGGACGAAAGAAAAGAGATGGAGCCTCGCCGTATCTCTTTCTTTCTCTCTCTGTGTGTGTATGTGTGTCTTCCACCTTTTTTTCCTCTTGTGCAGCAGAGAAGTGAATGATGCGGATGAGGGGCGTTCGTGGTGGTGGTGGTGGTGGCGGGCGACACTCAACGGAGACGAAACAACAACAACAACAACAACAACAACAGAAGAGACAAACGAAGAAACAAAATTGATGTAAATTACATTTGAATTTTTTTGATGCGGTTTTGTGTGATTTTGTGTGCCTCAGAGAGAAAGAAAGAAAGAGAGAGAGAGAGAGAGAGATGGCAGGATTATGAATTCGGCAACATGCATACATTTGTCTCTGGTTTGTGTGATGTATTGATCTGGGCAGCGGTATTTGTCGCAGTGGTTTTATGTATTGGACGTCATTGGATGTTTCTTTTTTTTTGTACTCCTTGTCTCCTTCTCTTTCTATTCTTGTCTGCGTCTCCGCTTAATTACATTGCAGGGGAAACAGCAGGCAGTATTTATCACCGTTTCTCCGATTTGCGTCACAACTGGCCTTTGACAGCCAACGCTCCTTTCATTGCACGTATAGATAGATATATACGCACACACACACACACAGAGAGAGAGAGAGAGAGAAAGAGAGGGATTTTTTTTTTTTCCTTTCCTTTCCTCTTAACAGGTTTATTTGTTTGTTTGTTGTATTGACTTTTTGGTTGCCGCTAGTGTTTTTTGTTTGTTTGTTTGTTTTTCTTATTAGGTTGTGAATGACACCGTCTTTGCTTCCCTTTACCAATGTAAAGGTGCTACTGCACGTACGTGAGAGTGTTTTTGGGGATGGTGGCGATCGTACGAAGCATTACGCAAAGAAAGCCCTTCGTAAGCTCGGTGCCTCTTTGACACTATCGGAATGTACGGCGGATTTAATTGTGTTTCACTGCGGGAGTGAATCGCTCCTTGAGAATGCAACAGCGCATGGAAAGACGATAGTTACGCCGGCGTACCTGCAAGAGTGTGTAAAACGCATGGAGCGGCTGCCAGTTGAAGGCTTTCTCGTCCGTCCACGCATGGCCCCAGCGCAAAGGAAGGAGGCCAAAAGGACGGGGTGCATCGGGGGCGGTCCACAGGAGGAGCGGCCGACAGTCATGACGTCCACGGGACTGTCAACTATCCCGTACCTTGATGACGTGGCGGAGGCAGAGGTTGAGAAGGATGGGGCCTCCCATGTAAAAGGCTCCGAGAGGCAAGACGGAGCCACCGCAAGACCGACGGCCGTGTCCTCTGTTATTGATTACGATGATGATGCCGATGGCATGGGAGTACTGGTACGTGAAAACAGTTTTCGCAGCGCAGGAAGACGTAGGGAGATGCCGTTACAGCCAGACGATTGCAACAGCAGTGGTAGCCCCCTCGTCCATGTGGGCGCATCAACCACACCCTTCAAGGAGGCGGTGAAAAGCACGCATAGAGGCATAATGCAAAGTACCAGCAGCAAAGAAATAAATCTCGGCGTGGATAGTACGAAGGATCCCTCGGCCCTGCCTTGTATGGGCGCACGAAGGAAGGCTTTGGGTGGCACGATGCCTGCTGGAAGGGCCGCCGTGTCATCATCATCATCATCATCATTACCCACGGCGACTGTTAAGAGACGCGCGACGAATTCAACGGACGAAATACCGGCAGTGCAGCGAAAACGTGACTGGTGTTTCACAGATAGTGCTAGCGACGAGCACGTGACTGGGGTGCCGAGTAAAAAGAGAAACAAGACGCAGGAGCGAAAGACAGTGTCCGGGACACATGAAGAGGGGGCGACACAGCTCACGATGGCCTTCACGGACACTTGCCTCATCACTCCATTGTTTGCTTCGGAGCCGGCTGCGAAGAGCATCACTCGTCATGGTGTGACGCACCTCCGTCCTTCCACGTCGCCCCCACAGCTCCGTGTTGCAGTGGCTGGGGATGATGATGACGGTATTCAGTTTCTATGCGATATTGTTGAGCAGCTGGGCGGCGTCTGTGTACCACGTGTGTTTGGTCGTGTGAGGAAGCCGACGCATCTTGTTTTGGAAGGACGTGGGGAGTTGACACCGATGGTGCTGCTTGCCAAGGCGCTGGGTATTCCTGTACTGACACCGCAGTGGCTCTACGATGCCATTGGCTTGGGGGCATTCCCAAAGATTATCCGTGCGCATCTGCATCCCATTTACTTCACTCATGTCACCAACAGTGACGACGCCACTTGTAGCGGCGGTGGGAGTGGTAAAGAAGAAAATGATGAGAAGGGAGGAAGATCTGGTGCTACACCAATGCATTCCCTGCGGAAGGATGCGGGCGTTGAAAAGGGCCTTGTCGGTCTCTTTGAGCATGACGTTGGCCCCTATTACAAGCCTATCTTTCTTGGGATGGTGGTTGCCCTTGTCAGCCACTCGCCCCTTGCCCACGCTGATCAATTCATGGAGCTGGTGCGTATTTTGGGTGGATTTGTCTCACGCAGCGCGTTGAGTCTAAATCTGTCCGTCATTGTTGATCTTAGATGTGGTGCCGCCGCCTCGGACGATCAGGCACTAAAGGAGGAGCAAGAAGATGTGGGAATAGCGGCGGACGTCAAAAGACGAAACCCGCGGCGAGGGGTTTTGCGCCGTGCGAAAGCGGGGTCTGCATCTGAGACGCAGTCGAACCCCATGAAGTACCGAACTGCGTTGAGTGACGGCCGCAATGCGTCACGGCATGACTCGCATGATGTTCTGCAGCGTCTCTTGGCGCAGCGGCGTCAACACGATTTGCCTGCTGTCCCTGTTGTGTCGGTGGAGTGGATTATTCAATGCATCCTTCTCGGCCAGGTCACCGAGACAGCCCCGTTTGAAGTGGCAGTGAGCGGAAGGGAACGAGTCGGTGGGGTGGAGATGGACCATTCGATTGAGAAGAAGCACACAGAGGAAAAATACGTCATTGCCATGACACCACCGAGACAGACAATGTGGATTGAGAGTGACAAGAGGAGCGAGACGGGCCGCCGTCACATCACGATCCCGCGACAACCGCATGTTGTTACCAGCCCGTTCGCAAAGACGTCTGAGGGGCCAAGCAGCGCGATGAAGTGTGCAGAACAGCAGTTAAGCACACAGCAACTGTTGCTCTCTTTGGACAGTGAGGATGAGTGAAGCCGCTGGTAGCGTTATTATTATTATTATTATTATTATTATGGTGTTGGTGGTGGTACTCTTGCTCTCTCTCTCTCTCTTCTTTTTTTTTTTTTTTTTTTTCTGTGGCTGAGGGCGGCTGTTTTCTTTTTTGTCTTACGTTGCCGACGAGAGGAGGGACAACAACAACAAAAAAAAAAGGGGGAATTTGCACTCGGCCTATTGCATTTCCTTTTCACCTCTGTTTTTGCCTACTCTTCCCTGTGTTGTTGTTGTTTTCCTTCTTTGTGTGTTATGTTTTTCTTTCTCTATCTCTCTCTCCCTGAAGTGAAAGAAGAGGCCTTCTTCTTTTTTTTTTAGTTCTGTTTCTTTTTTTTTTTTTTTTTTTCCTCTCTCTTTTTAGTCAATATGCCGGAGGAGGTGGGTAGCGTCACCGAACATGGTGCGCCCAACCAGTCGCTGGCACGTAGACTACGTCAGATGAATATTGCAGAAGGCCGGTTTCTTATTTCGCAACGTATCGGCAGTGGTGCTTTTGGTGAGTTGTTTCAAGGCCTTGACATTCGCACCAACTCGAGGGTAGCGGTGAAATTTGAGAAGCGACAAATTGCGTACCCGCAGTTGTCGTATGAGAATAAGGTGTACCGTGTGCTGCATCATGGCCAATGCGACACTATTGGGATTCCGCGTGTACATTACTTTGGTGTAGAGGGTGAATACGGTGTGCTCGTGATGGACCTTTGCGGCCCGTCACTGGAAGATCTCTTTAACTACTGTGGCCGTAGATTTTCTGTGAAGACTGTATGTATGCTGGCGGATCAGATGCTACAGCGAATCGAGTTCCTGCATGGAAAAGGTTTTATTCATCGAGACCTTAAACCAGAGAACTTTGTGTTTGGTACTGGAAGGCGGGGCCACGTTCTTCACCTCATTGACTTTGGTCTGAGCAAATTGTACTGGAACAAGCGGAAACAGCTGCATATTCCATTCTGTGAAGGGAAGACGCTAACAGGAACCGCACGGTACTGTAGTACCTGGACCCATCGCGGGTTTGAGCAGAGCCGCCGTGATGATCTTGAGTCGATTGGCTTCATTCTTGTGTACTTCCTCGTTGGGTCACTTCCATGGCAGGGAATTATGGCGCGGGACGTCCAGCAGAAAACCGCCCGAATCGGGGAGAAGAAGTTGGATACATCACTGGAGAGCCTCTGCAGCGGACTTCCTGAAGAGATCCTGCAGTACTGTGCCTACTGCCGGGAGTTGCGGTTTACAGACACTCCGGATTATAATTATATGCGGGAGTTATTTTTGACGCTTGCGAAGCGGCGTGGCTGCGTGTGTTCGCCCTTGGAGAATGCAAATGGTGTTTGGTGGGACGGCGGCAACAGTGGCTCGGACACGCGATCGTCGCCGTATGACTGGATGTTTGATTGGTTTTTGAAACGTGGGGCGGAAGTGGAGGAGTGGCAAAAGCGGCAAATGGCGAAAAGTCCATCGAACAACGTGCAACATTTTCACGCCTCCCGCCAATTGGTTGAAAAAGACGTGAATTCAAAAACCCTCGAAGGCGACAATGACGAGTCTAGCCCTTCATCCGAGTCCAACGTCATTCATCTGTCGCTGAGGAAGACGGATTGGCAAAACGACGAGTAAATGTTGTCACTTGTGAGAAGAGAAAAAAGAAAAAAGAAAAAAAAAAGAGAGAGAGGAGGGAACAAAAGGAGGAAAAGGGGAAAAAAAGCGTATAATTGTGAAGAGGACAATTTTTTATTGTTGTGTATGTGTGTGTTTTGGAAGCAACGTATGTGTGGATGTAGTGGTCTCTTTATAATAATTACCCCGCATGTATGCGTCAATATATATATACACGTGTCGGCCTGTTTGTCTATGTGTGTGGGTGTATGTGCGGTCCTGTGTATTCTCAAAGAGTCATTTGGTCCATGTACACGCGTCATGTATCCTTGTTCTTCTTGTTGTTGTTGTTTTTGAGATGTCTACTCATGGAGTTATTTCTCTGATAACACGTGTGTACTGAGCATCCACATGTATGTCCATTCTCCTGGTGTACGGCTAGCGGCTGCCTACACACACGCACATATATATATATATATATATACAAAAGCGCCTACCATGTGCGAAAAGAAGTTCAGTCATTAACGAGTAGATTTATTATTATTATTATTATTATTTTTTATATGCATGGATTTGGGGTAGTTTGTTGGAGGTTGAATAGTAAATGGGAGATGGAAATGACTTTTGAGCGTGTTGGGTTTACGTCATTTCAAAATGCAAAGAATATATATATATATATATATATTTTTTTTTTTTTGAAATCTATGGCTCAACTTCTTGTTGTGGACTTTGCAGAGCATTTTGTTGTTTTTTACTGTATTAGATTTGTGTAAATATGGCTATCGATAAAACGGAAAAAAAAAAGAAATATATATATATATATATATATATATATATATTGATGTGCATGTGAATTTAAGCAGGAGCGTTGTTGTTTGTTTATATATGTGTGTATGTGTATGTTTGCATACTAACACGTATGCCTCCTTTTTTTTTTTTTTTTTTTTTCTCTCTCTCTCTCTCTCTCTTTCTTTTTTTCCTTTTTTTTCCCCCCTTTTTTTTTGCTGTTGGCTACTTGCTTTACCGCCAATGTACACACGCTCCCCTTGAAATGGGAGATTAAGAGAGATCTCATTTATTTATTTATATTTATATTTATATTTATGTTTCACGACGCACATGCATGGCTGTATTTTTATGCATTTAACCCTCTGTCTTGCACCCTCTCGTTTCTCTTTTCTTCTTTCTGTGTGTATGCATTGTATGCACATTGACTTTTCTTTTCTTTTTTCCCACATATATATATATATATAGAGGGAGGAAGGGAGGAGGGAGAGCGAACAGAAAAGAAAATAATAAAATAAAAACAAACAAACAGAGAAGAAGGGAAAGGAGGAAAAAGGAAAAAGGATTTCTGTGTGTGTGTGTGTGGGGAAGAGAGAGAGGATACGTTTGTATCACGGGATCTGACAAGATGGAGTTTAAGCAGTGGGTGGAGAATCGTTACCGGCATCCGGTTGTGTTAGTGTTTGCTAGTCCCATGACAGAACAGGCATGTCGGCGTAATGGCATGGATTTAGTTCAGATGCTCCGACCCTTCTCTGTTCATCCAACGGAGCTCTTTGCCCACATTGGAGATCGCGCTGACACTGTACAGGTGCGCAAATTCGGCGTACGATTCACGCGTCTGGAGTGTGTGCGTGAGGTGGAGGCGCTGCAGTCTGCACGTTACTTCCGTCACTTGCTGCGTGATCACGTGGCGATGGAGTTGGCATACGGGGAACAACTGGACCGTGCCATGTCGTCTTTATTGAAGGAAAATGGTGGCGTTGTGGAGGAGCCACGGCTTTCTGCGCAGGTGGCATCGCAGCTGTTGGAGCGTTCCCACCCTGCGTGGTACTCACAATTTATTCGCGACTACGCGTATGTGGTGCGCTGCAGCCACTTTGATACCATTGACCACCCGGTGGGGTGCATTTACGCCGCCTCGACATGTGAGGCAGGTGGCATTGATGGTATTATGCGGGAATTTAGAGAACAACAAAAGCAACCTGCCGATACACGGCGCAACATGCCATGCATGGACGATGAGCTGCACAGTTACTTTTTACTCGTACATGACATAACGGAAGGGCCGCCGATTGAGGAGGTGCGACGCATGCTCGCGGCGGTGAAGGCGCAATACGGCCATGCGCACTGTGCCGTGGTGAAGATCAACTCTGTTGTGAACCCACAGGACGTGAAGAACATGGACCCGTCGCCATGGATCGATGCAAATCGACTCGCACTTGACGTCCCCTCACGCTCGGCCGTACATTTGGCGCAGCCGTCACAACAGACAAATCAAATGTCTTCCCCTGGCGACGGCGTTGTGAGGGGCAACAACAACAACAACAACAGCAGCAGCAGCAGCAGCGGTGGTGGTGGTTGTGGTGGTGAACAAAAACCGGTCAGCGGCTCATCGAATGCCACGGTGAACGTCGTATTTACTGCTGAGAACAGCAGTTACCCCAATATCGAGAATTCCAGCAGCACCCCCGCATCTCTGCACTTCCCGCGTGTGCACACCATGTTCGGGAAGTGGCCAAACGGCACGGCCAAGATTACCGGCTGTCATATGAGTCCAGAGGATGTGGAAGGCTTGCGTGATGTTGTGACGTATTACCTTTCACGATGTCTCTTCAACTTTCTCGAGCGGAAGCTGCGGGTTTTGGTGCTGACAATCAATGAAAAACGTACGACAACATTTGGTAAGGTCGCCGCGTGGTTCCGTAACAAGGACGAGGTGAAACCTAAGACTGACAGTTGGGTCGCGAGCCACGATGGCAGCCCCACGAAGTATCTTGCAGGGTCCTTGGAAATGCAGATGCGACGCGCTGCGGATATTCTGCTGGCGCTTGCGGACTACGATTCCGCAATTAGTTACTACCGGATGTGCCGCAATGAGTTGCTCTCGACGGTGTCGTTACGGAGTTCAATAAACCGCTCATCGCGGCTTGCCAGGAGGGAATTGGTGTGTGTGATTTTTGCAGGGTCGTTTGCCGCTACCGAGCCTGGCGCCGTGGGTGACAGGAGGCACGTCGTCTAAAAACAGTGGTGACTGTCGATTGGAGGTTGCGCAGAATGACTACGTGGAATGTCGAGTGCATACATACGCTTTCCGCTTGTCCCTCATGCTTTACGAGTACAGTCGTACACGGTCTCCACCGGCATTGGATCGTGCTGCAGCTTCACTGATACATGTTCAACGTGTTGGGATAGCGTACAGAAATAAGTTGTATTCCGCAATATTACATGAGCTGCTTGCGTCTGTTTCAGTTTTTCTCAATCCGCCACAACCCGCAGGGATGACAATACCGGCCTTGTTACCTAACAATTTCTTGCTGCGTTCTCATGTTCGACAGTACGCGCGCCAAATGATCATTGCGGGTAGTGCGTATCTAGACGACAACCTTATTGAGAATGCATTGCGTTGTTACTTGCGTGCCTTACGTGTGTGTGGCGGTGTTGGACGTCGTGGCAGTTGGCAACTTATATTTGAGCACATTCACACGCTTTTAGCCCACATGTACCGTAAAATTGGAAACCAAATACGCGGGATGGTTATGGCGTCCATCGCCGTTTCTATGGCGACGCCTATGTACAGTAATCTGCGTACAGGACTTCGCAACTTTGACTCATTTTGGAGCCGGCAGCGGCAGGTAATGGAGAATCTCGGCTACAAACTCTGCCCACACATGGTTGCGCCATGTATTCTGCCGGAGTCCATTCGTGTCAGCACAAATGCGTTTCATTGTGATGAGGTGACAAGGCAGGAGTCACAGGTGGTGAGTGATGAGCTGGCGGAGGTGGAATGGCACAAGATGGAAGACAAACTACGGCAGCATTACACGGGATACGCATCCAGTTCTCCACGCCACCAGCTGAATTTTCGAGAGGAGATTGGAAAGACGCAGCGAGATAATGCCGTGGTATGTATGCGGCGTTATTCGATGCACCTCACAGAACCATTGGAAATCACTGTAACGCTGCGGAATCCTATTGGTGGTCCGCTTACGGCAGAGAAACTCTGTCTCTTGTATGTTGCTAAGCAAAAACCCGATCAGTTGTGGAAGAGCGCCTCTTCTCAAACGGTGGAGTTACAGGCAGCGGCGTCAAAATCCGTCACCATATCCTTCTCACCAAGTGAAGAAGGCACGTACGTCATCATTGGGTTCTGTTGGACGCTTTTGGGATTAGAGGGGTATTATTACTTTGCCACGGAAACTTACAAGGCGAGTGACGATGGCGGCAGCGATAATAGAATTGGGGCCTTTGAGTATGCCGTGGAGCACCCCGTGCCGAACGTGAATTCACCGGCAAACATGGAAATTGTGGTTGCCCCGCCACAGGCGTGGATCACTGCACGGCTGGACCCCGAACTTCCACCCTTTATGCGGGACGGAGAGTATTGCCAGACAACACTTGTCTTGACAAACGGGAGTTCATACCGCACGGCACGCAGCATTACATTGCAACGCAGTCCGAAGAATGCTCATGTAGTCTGGATGGAGCCTTTTGGCTTGGAGCGTAATATCGATGCAGAGGCAACATTTGTGTTGGAACAAGAACTTGCTCCAAAGACAAGCCTCACATTGCCAATGACGGTGCAGGCCCATCATAGCCAGGACTCATCATCGCGGTGCAAAAATAACGTTTTTTTCCTTGTGGGATACATCTCAGGAACCGCAAAGGAAGAAGATGCGCTCCCTTCTTCTTCTTCTTCCTCTTTTTTGGCGTCGTTGCGTTTTCATCGATTTTTTCGTCGTGTTGTTGTAAAATCGGCTATTTTGCTTTCATCCATGGTATTGCCTCCTGCTAATGTGACCATGGCAACGGCAGCACTCATCACGGCTAGTAACGTGTCCGAGGCACGAGAGCCACCAGTGCGGGTGTCGCGTGTGATGGTCATTCACAGACCGCGATGGCGTGTTGTCCCCACTTCTCTTGGGAATCTTCTTGCGGAGAACGCGTTGGATTGCATCTTGTCATCTGGTGGAGCCTTGTGCGTCCCGCTGAGCGTGGTGAGTGAAACACCATCATCAAAGACAACACACACGGATGCGACCGTTGTCCATTCACGTAAGCTAATAGAGGAGGTGTGCATCCCACTCTCGTCGACGCTCGCTGCAACCTCAAGACGCATCATGGTGGAGGAAAATATCGGCGCCGGCGTTGTGGACTCCGAGATGAATTCATACTTTATGCGCTGCAGCTTCCGTGGGCCCGGGACCATTGGTGAAGTGAAGGTTTCTGAAGGTCTTCCATTTTACTTAGACAAGGCAGGCGCTGCGGGAAAATCGGCAGGCAGTGACGAGGGTGCAGCCCAGAAACAAGAAGAGCAAATTTATCATCCCCATCACCAGCAGCCACAGCGCCACTCAGCAATGGTGGTCCCAGTTGTGGAGCCCTTTACACCTATTTGTGTGGCGGTGGTTTGGGCGGTTGAGGAGAGGGGGCGAATGTACAGCGGACAAATGTTCCACTTTGTCGATCCCGTTTGTTTCCTTTCATCTTGTGAGTTTTCCGTGGGTGAAGCACACGATAGACTGCAAGAGCATCTCTGTGACTCGATGATAAAAGATCGTACTCTTCATCCGCATCATGGCGCAATGTTCTACCACGTCGAAGTGCCGCATACTGTGGAGACAACAGCGGACAGCCCGGATGTTGCCATTATTCCCGTCACGGTACATTGTCGTTCGCTAGCCGCACATCCTCTTCTTGTGACGGTGAAGACCACGACGCCCGGTAGCCCTGATGCTCTTCCGTCGCCCATGTTGTCTCCTGTGCCTCTCACCTTTGTAGGGAAAACGAGTGTTGGGTTTTTGCTTTTGCCCCATGAAACTCATCTGCTAAACTTCACGGCGTGCGCCTTTGCACCCGGTGTGGCGGAGTGCAATCACTTTCAGGTGAGCGCTGTGGCACTGAAGCCCCCACAAGGTGAGACATGCGGTTCATGGAGGACAGGCACCTCGCAAAGCGCCTTGATGAAACTCCTTGGAGAAAATACATCATGCCTTGGAAGGAATCCGAGCATGACGGCAGGAGTAAGAGGAGGAGAAATAAACGTTAGCGGTGGTGATGGAAACAAGTGTGTTAGTAGTGGCGGTAAGGATCATTTAGGTGGTGTTGGAGATTTAGTGAGGGATGGCGTTCAAACGGTCATTCTTGGCCACGGCATGGCAGCCATCACACGTGTTCTTTTTGTACCCTTGTCAGCGGAAACCAGGAGGGTAGCGGCTGAGGCGGTGGCTGCGAGGGCAAGGGCGTACCAAGAGGATGCCAAGATATATGAGAAACAATACAGGGAGTTTGAACACCGAAGAGCTCTTCTGAATTTTTCTTCAGGCACAACGTTGCAAAAGGCAGATGATTTACTGGTGTTGTATCCTCCCCGGGCACGCAAACTGGTGGAAAGGACACAGGACACGCCACATGGCGCAACTATTGCTGCTTCAATTGGGTCTGTGGGACAGCCCGACCCGTCGCCGTGGCATGGAGACCGTGAAATTTTAAAGGGGATTGTCGGGTCGACCAGTGCAGTCATGTTGGAGGCTGTCGGAACGACGTCCTCCTTAGTGCCAGATGAGGTTGTAGAAGTAGTCGCCGACGTTGAGGGACAAGAGAATCAGGAGGGGCTACAAAACGTAGCCGTGCCGTCGGAAGATACGTCGAAATCGGGAACGGATTTAAGCTGTTCAAGCACAACGAGTACAGATATGTCCGTGGAACCTGCTGCAGAGCAAAATCCAAACACTTCATCCGAGGAGGTGTACCACACGATGCAGCAACAGTAGTGGAACGAAGAACGAAGAAGGGGTGGAGGGAAAAGAGCGGAGAGGAATTGGCGGGGAGAAAAAAGAAAGGGAAAAAGGGGATGTGGACTTAATGGTTCACATGTGCCCAAGACCAGGTAGGGAGAAGGGGTTTTTACCTCCGGATAAACATGAAGACTACGCTGAGGTGTGGAGTTTATTGAGGGATTCAAAGTAAGAATCAACTCCCATCATTTGGTTTGTTTGTTGTTGTTGTTTTACGCTTTCTCCTTTAATTTGAGATGACAGTCGCTTTTTTATGCGCCCTTCACACAACTTTCTCTCTGTTTTCCTCTTCTTCTTTTTTCTTTTTTTTTTTTTTTTTTATTCTTCCTGTTTCTTTATGCTGCATTTCGTTTTTTTTTTTTTTTTTTTTTTTCTTCTTTTTGGTTTGTTAGCTTTACTGGGAACACGTTTGGACTTGTCTTATGTGTTCGTGTTTGTGGCGCTTAACTCGCGGTCGGATTTGTTGAAGCGCGTTTCTTCTTGCTTTTCTTTTGGATAAAACTCGCCGCTTCCACTTCCGGGATGATGTGGGGGGCGGGGCGGGAGAGAAGGGGATGGGGGAAGAAGAAAAGTTCTACCAACACGCGGGATGTAATTGTGAAGCTCTTTTTTGTTTGTTTGTTTTTTTTTTTTTTTGTTTCGTGCCCCTTTTCCTCCTCCTTTCACCTGCTGTTACTTCATTTCTCTGTTGCTTTTATCGTTTGTGTTCTTCCCGCTTTCTTTTTCTTTTCCTTTTGGTAGCCGTTGTTGTTTTGGTGCTGTTGGTTCGTCTGCAAAAGGGAGGAGGCGGGGTTAGGGGAGCAAGGACCGACGGGCGGACTGTGTGTGTGTGTGTGTGTGTGTTTGTGTGTTTGTGCGCTCGTGACCGATGCCCTCGTCGGCGTCTCGCCCGAAGAGCGGAAGGATGAAGCGCCGGCGGTCACGCACGAGAGAAACGCCGACGCGGGGGGAAAATGCGGGGAGGCGCAGACGGGAGGCGTCGCGCTCCAGCCGTTCCTCTTCAGGTTCCTCGCGGCACTCCACGTACTCCTCCTCCTCCTTGCGGGGGTCAGATGAGCGCAAGCACTACCCGCTGTTCACGGCAGAGTACGCCAGGCGCTTTGGGCGCAGCAACATTCCTTTTCTGCGTCTGGACTCCGGCGACATGCATCAGAAGCAGCAGCAGCAGCAATTCACGTCCCCTTTGCTTCGTTTGAAACACGTGTCGTCAACACCGTGGACGCGGGAGCGGCCTCGTTGGATTTTGTACAATGAGTACGTGCTGCTGCGTGAGTTGGGTAAAGGCACCTACTCCAAAGTTGTCTTGTGTCGCTCCCTCCGCACTGGTGATCTTTGCGCATTAAAGATATTTCGCAACGAGCAGACCTACAAGGAGGCGTACTGGAACGAAGTGGGGGCACTTGAGGCGTTATGTCGACCGCTTGCAGAGGAGGCGGAACGGCAGCAGCAGCAGTACAACATCGGCGTGAGTAGTGGGGGTCTTGGTGGCGGTGGTAGCGGCGTTTGCAATGGTGAGGGCAGTCTGACGGCGACCGTGACGGGACGGTATGATGCATTTGGTGGCTCAGCGGTGTGTCAGGGACAAGCGGGTCGTTTCATCGTCCCCATTTCACACCTGCCCCATCCCATTCATCACGCGATTGTTCTGCCCCCTCTTGGATTTTCGCTGTTTGACGTCCTGCGGCACATTCGTGAGGAGTCCATGAAGGCGGCGGGCAATTTAGCGTCTGGATCACAGAAAAGTACATTGCCAAATGGTGTTGACGAAGAGACTGTATTGCGTCAACGTGGTGTAATTGAGGTTCATTACAGAGGGCTGCCCCTCGAACTTGTACGCTCGGTCCTGTACCAGATTCTTCTCTTCCTGCGCCACGCTCACCGCCGTGGCATTGCACACACGGACATTAAACCAGAAAATGTTCTATTTGAATCCAATGACACCCTCATGACGCAGCTTTGCATTAGGACGCATCGCCACTCCAACAACTCCTTTGGGCCGTTGGGTAGTCATGAACAAACTCAAAAAATAGGTTTGGGTGGTATTGGTACCTTCACATCATCATCGTCATCCCCGAAATCCATGCAGAAGGGAATGAGAGTGAGTGAAACCGTAGTGAACGTCAGGCTTCCTGCGATGAATGCTGTTCGTGTCATTGACGTGGGTGCCGCCGAATTCCTCTCAGAGTGTCGCAAACTAAGCGTGTTGGATGGTAAGACACCTGTTTTTTACCACCGCATTCAAACGACGCATTACTGCAGTATAGAGGTACTGCTTGGGCTTGGGTGGACGAGTTCTGCGGACATGTGGTCACTTGGCTGCATGATTCCCGAATTGCTTACAGGGGATTGTATCTTTATGCCACAGGATGACCTTGAGCACATTGCCCTTATGCAGCACATTATTGGTCCATTTGATATTCCGGAGAGCAATGGGCAATCTGAAACAATTGTTAGGCGTGTGTTCGCAAAGGGACGTTATTTTGAAAGCTACTTTGATACACATACGATGCAGTTGGAGTGGCCATACCGGTTCAATAGGTCATCATCATCATCATCGCAGCGCCGACGGCGTATTATTTCACTTGAGGATATTCATTATGTCGTGTCACGACCAACGCTACAGGAGGTGCTTGAGCCCTTTCCGCAACTGTATGATCTCTGTCGACGGCTTTTAGACTATGACCCACTGCGTCGTATCACTGCCGCCGAAGCCCTCCAACATCCATTCTTTACTTTAACCGCGTAATCACAGCGTGATGTTTATCTGTTTGTGTGTGTGTGTGTGTTTCCCGCTTTCTTTGTGGATGTAAACTCATCGCCGTGGAAAGTGTGACGGGCGACCAAAAAAAAGGGAGATGGATGCGGGGGGGAGAGGGTGGCGTCCAAAACTTACAATGGGGACCCAATGAGGCAATGGCTCCCCGGAGTCTCTTCTTTTTTTTTTTCTTTTTTTTTTTTTTTTTACTTTTCCCTCCACTCCCTTGCACATTCTTCAGGTCTCTCTGTAATGTGCGGTCATGTGTGGTGAAACCGTCGCGGAGGGACACGTACGAGAAGTGACGAGAAGGTAAAAAATGAAAAATAAAAATAAATAAATAAGGAGGAATGTAACCGAGAAGGCACGTTGACACACAATGAGATAAAGAGAGGGAAGCGAGTATGAAGAATGAAGGGTTATGATCATGCGACGTATGTCGCCTTATTTCTTTCTTTCTTTTGGTTTTTTTTTTTCCATCTCCCTTCATTATTTTGTTGTTATTGTTGCCTTCTCCCCCCGTCAATGTCATCAATATGAGACCATCATTATTATTACTCGCTTGTAACGCAGAAACACACCGGTAGGTAGCAGAGGGACAATCACACACACACACTGCAATGCAGCCCCCACAGGCGAATCCGCAACTCGCTGGGTTGCCGCAGCGAGATGCCGTCGTGCTGGCGGAAAAGCTGCAGTTAATCACATACGATGGTTTTATGCACTGCGCACGGCAGTGTATCACCCACTACGGCGAGGACTCCCTTCCATACCACCCAGGCGAGAAGTCGTGTCTAGACCGCTGCATCAGTAAGGTTTACAACGGGCTCGAGCTCTCCCGACAACTAAAGAAGGAGTTCGAGGAAAAGGTGAAGAGGGGCGAGATGCCATATCGGTGGATGAAAGAAATGACAGCCGCGGCGACATAAGGGATGAGGTAAAGACGTGGTTGTGATTGTTATTTTTGGTAGGTGCATTGATGATGGCGGTGATGTTGATGATGCGTCTTGACGGTGTGCCCGACACTTTATATAATAACAATATTAATAATCATAATGTATCCTTCTCTCGTTCTTTGCACTGCCTACAACGGTCCGGCAGTAGTAGCCAAAGCCAACAGAAATGACGGTGAGAGCCTTCTATAAATTCACGGAGTGGCGGAGGTGGAGAGCGAGAGGGAGGAGGGGAGGTGCCGGCAAAGGTGATTGGTGAGTTGATGCAAACAAAGCCAATAAGACAACGAGAGAGTGTGTGTGTGTGAGAGTGAGAGAGACGTAGAGCCATTAAGGAAGAAATGGTGGAACGCGGTTATTGTGTCTTGTTCTGCATGCTGACGCTGTTTTTGTTGTTGTTGTTGCTGCTTCTCTTTACCTCTACGTCACGCGACATTTCACGCCGTTTATTCTTCTCCTCTTTACTGCATTATTTCTTTTTGTTTTGCTTTGTGTAGGGTCCAAGCCGTTTGGCCACTGTGTGTTTGTGTGTGTGTTTGTGTGTTGGATTGTTTCATCATTTAAACTCATTTTCCCCCCTCTATTTCTGTTTACTTTTTTCCAATCCATGGGGTGGTGGGAGTGTTGAAAAGAAGTGAATAATAACACGAGAATAATAAAGAAAAGAAAAGCAAAGAAAGAGACAGAGAGAGAGAGAGAGAAAGTAAGTGTCAACAACAGAAATCAATAAATAAATAAATAAATAAAACATGTCTTATCGCGCATATGGTGGAGGCTATCGTGGACGTGGCGGAAGAGGTGGAAGGGGTGGACAGCACTGGCAACAGACGGCATGCGAAGAAGATACGTTTCGCGACCCGAGTAATTTTAACTCCGGCTCACCGTATGCAGAGCTGAGGAATTACTTTAACTCTGTCGAGGGCGTCAATTACGGAGAACTGAAGTCCCTGACAAACGCGTCCTTTGCACTTTCAGAATCTGTGCGGTGTACGTTTTTGGCGATCCAGTCCGATCCATTTGCTCCTGGAAGTCAGGTGCGTATGTCCTGCCCTTGCCCGTTTCAGCTGCAGAAGATCCTGCAGTGCTCGGAATTGAGCTCCTGCGTGCCGTGTCGTCGTATCGCGGCGGAGGACTACATCCTCCGTTCCTTTCATGATGGCCATCGTCGGGGTGTTGCAAGACACCACAGTGGGGCGTTGCATGTGATGCGTCCCTCTCAACATGTGTTGGAGAGGAGTACGGTGGTCCTGGTGAATGGCGATAGGGAGAGAGGAGGGGTGGAGGTGCATTTGTTTGCGCGGGTGAAGCTGCCGGGTCATGGACGCCGCATTGATGGCCATGGAGCCATCCGTATCTTTTACGATGAACTTCTCCCGATAATGGAGCGTTGTGTTGTTGGCCTCGACGAAGAGGCCCTCTACCAGCATGTCACCTCCGTCCACGATCAGGAACATCTTCGTGGTGAGTTGCGTGCCGCAGGGTGTGTGGCGTTTGTTGCGAATGGATCCGTGTTGCCACGCGAATCAGGGAATTCCGACAGGCCACTTGGCAAAGGCGCGGTGCCGTTTGTCTCGCCGGCGTCGCTTGAGCGCACATTTCATCTGCCGCACAGCGGTGCCACGGTAACGGGCATGGGCCTCCCGCATGGGTTGATACTCATCGCCGGTGGTGGGTTCCATGGAAAATCGACGCTCCTGCGCGCACTGGAAGTGGGGATTTACAATCATGTGCCGGACGACGGCCGGGTGTACGTCACTGTGGACCCAACAGCGGTGAAAATTCGTGCGGAGGATCGACGATCCATTAATGGTGTTGATATATCGCCCTTTATTAATAACCTTCCGTTCCAAAAGACCACCACCTCATTTGTCACCTCCGATGCCAGTGGCAGCACTAGCCAAGCCGCTAATATTATGGAGGCCCTGGAGCTGGGATCACGGTTGTTGTTGCTTGATGAAGATACCTGCGCCACCAACCTGATGTACCGTGACGATTTGATGCAGCAACTTGTGCCACGTGAACAGGAGCCCATTACCCCATTCGTGGACCGTGTCACGGACCTGATACAGAACCATGGGGTTTCCTCCATCATGGTGATTGGAGGATCCGGGCAATATTTCCCGCACGCCACGGTAACCTTAGTTATGAATGCTTACAAGGCTTTTGATTGCAGCGAACGTGCGAAAGAAATTTCAACAACTTTCATGTCGTCTGTGCAACCGCCCAAAAAAGCTATCTCCGTCTTTGTCTCGCCAATGCAACGCCAGTTTGATGGGAGTGGGACATTCTCCACCGTTCACTGTCGCAGGGGCCATGACAGCATCAAAGTTAGTGGCGTCGGTGTGGACAGTATCCGTTTTGCCGAGGAAACCATTGATTTGTCGCTAGTTGAGCAAATTGTAGAGGAGGGACAAGTGAACGCCATTGCTCAGTGCCTCGCCATGTTGTATGACGGGGAGGAAAATGGCATCAGAACCTTCCTTGCGAAGGGGAAATCACTAAAGTTGCTTTATTCACCTTCGGGCGGTAGCGAACCACGTAACGTGCCCTTTTACTCGGAATTCGCTGCATTGATTGAGGGCTGTGACGCGGCGTTGCGTGATGCACGACTGGAGGCGCGAACGCCATCGTGTTATTTGCCACGTGGCTTCACATCAGCCGCGAGGCGGTTTGAAATTGGCGCCGCACTCAACCGATTGCGCACACTCCGGACCCTCACAGCAGCCATGAAGTGACAAGAGGAGGGGTAGAGAAAAAAAAAAAAAAAAAAAAGAAGAAAAGAGAGAGGGAGTGCAGGAATGCCCGGGAAAAAGTGAAGAAATGAATTCAGAATCGAATAGAAATGAAAAAATTGGGGGTGGGTGTGTGGTGGGTGGGGAAAAGAGAGAAAAAAAAAAAAAACATCAATAAAAAAGTGAGATTGATAATAGAAGTGAATTACCATGATATATTTATATATTTGACGACAGAATTTTTGTAAGGTGTTTTTGCACGGAATTTATACAGTGGGGCCTTTTCTTTTTTTTTTTTTTTTTTTACTTTTTGGTAATGCAGAGAGAGAGGGAGGCTGGGGCTGAATTAGAAATGGTGATATAATGGAAAGAAACAAAAAAAATGAAAAAAGGGGTCAATTCATGAATTCTCTCTCTCTTTCTCCATTGCACGCATTCATTCACACGCACACAGTCGCAATGACGACTGATCTCTCATCACTTGCATTCATTACTGCCTACTTGTGGTGCCTCTGAGAAAATATTATTTGCGTTTGTGGTTCCCCTTGAATTTTATCTTGTTTTTATTTATTTATTTATTTTTTTTTTTTTTTTTGTTATTTTTTTTTTTTTTTTTCTACCCCAGGGAGTCGAGGTTGTAGGGATATTGTTTAATCTTTTTTTTTTTTGTTTTTTTTGTTGTTTTTGTTGCCCTCCTGGGCTCCCAAATGGTATGGAAAGAAGACATGGTGGAGGAAGGCAGACAGCATGGATGGATGTTTACTTTCAGTAGGCGTAGAAGGTTGTGCCAAATACTGCGCCTGTTGGCCTTTCACAGATTTAAATTTATTATATTCATGTGTTTTTTTATGGCTATTTGTACATATCTTTTCTCCCGCATCGGAGAGGATAGAGGAGAAGTGTTGTTGCGGCAAAGTGGTGTAATCACGACAAACTTGGATCGCATTACGGATCCAGTAAATGAACTTGTCGCCGAGGAAACCATGACGCAGCTGCATCACGGTACATACCGCGTCGTCAGTCTGTTAAAGGATGGGTCTGGGGACGCTATCCAGTTTGTGTTCAAGGCAGAATGCCGGCCTGCATCGAGGTGGCATGGCCAACAGGGATGGACTGAAGTCGCCGTGTATCATTTTCAACGGCTTTTCTACGAGGGGGATGAATGGGCATATCCGAAGGCTGAGCTCGCACGTGGTGTGGTGATCGCCATCACGGAGGAGCAACTGCTGCGTGTCGTACACAGAGATCGTTGCGGAGTGCTCACAGAGAAGGATATGGTACATCTATCGGGGAATATAACGCATGGGAAAAAGTTCCAGCGTAAGGATCATATTGTTGTCACTGGAAAAAGTAAAAAGGCGACTGCTTTGATGATTGGTGTTGCCCTAACTTGGCGAGATGGCTTTGATGATAATACTTATCCATCCGCTTCCGTGTATGCCCCTTATTTTCTCGTCCCTCCATTTTATAATCCGATAAAGCGGGAGCCCATTCATCGTTTTGTTTTGTATGAAATGTCGGATGTTATGGTCTTTGACTATCTTTTATTGAATCCAGATCGCGCTTTTGGTAAGAACTGGTTCCGAGACAAGGCGACGCATTTGCACTCGGCTTTAATTGATAATGGTTGGGCCTTTGCCGGGCAGAAGTTCGGGTCCTCGGTGTGCGAGGTGGAGAGTGGGCTCCTACACTGTCCCTCGCCGCTACGAACGTGGAGCAACCAGAGACGTAGTCAGTGGCGATGTACACCAAGAGACCATGCAAAGACTGATTTTGAAGCCGAAATGGTCATGAAGGCACGTCGCCCTGGTTTGCTGAAATGGTGCCGTTTCCGACCCGAGACACGCCATGCCCTCAACCGGACACGGATGCAATGGCATAATGAAAACCATGCAAGCACGTCTCTTTCTCAACGGTGGATAGAAAAGATGAAGTCAGACACACTTGTGGCTTTTTTGCTGGGGGCCTATGGTGAAGAAACATCGAAAAAACGGTTTAATCTAGCTCTGGCACGTTACGTGCATGAATGTCCTTCGCACCCTGTTGCAAAAGAAGCCACCGGATATAAGACGTCCTCGCTGAATCTCTTGCATGCACTGGAAGTTGGACTGCTAGCTCGCATGGACAGGCTGGCCGCCCACTTGGAAGAGTGTCTACAGGAGTGTGGTGAAACATACGTATACGCAATTGATGTTGAGAATTGATGGTTCTATTGATATTTTTGTTACTTGTTGCCGTTTTATTTTATATTATTATTTTTTTTTTTTCCTTCTGGGTGTTCTTAGGCGACGCACGGTTGGGGAATACTTTAATGGGGTTGATTGCAATATCTTCATTCATACATAACAGGAAAAGGTGGGAGAATTTTGTTGCTGAGGCGAAGATGACTTACCCTTGCACTTAATTGAAGTGAACTTGTGCGGATAACTTTTTTTGTTGTGGATGCTTTTCTTTTCTTGTTGTTGTTGTTGTTTTGGTTGTTTTATTGTGTGATTTTTTGCTTTTGGGAAAAGTGGCCAGCCTCAAAAGGGGGGTGGAGGGAGAGAGGGAGAAAGAGAGAGGGTTTTTTTTTGTGTGTGTGTTTGGCGGCAAGGAGGAAAAAGTAGAAAATTATTTGGGAGCCACGCAGGCGTCATGGCTCGTACAGAGTTGGAAGAGTGGGATGTGTTTGGCATTTTTGACGGCCTCCCGCCACCCCCCACCACACATCTTACAGTCCGGCAGTATGTGAGTCTTGTGCAGCGGATTGGGCAATGCCTTGGGATAAGTGACATCTTCTTCCGCTTTAACCTTCCGTTAGCGGGAAATGATGATGGTGATGATGTTGCACTGAATGCATGTGGCCACCCACCTGTATGCGCGCACTTGGCTCGTGAAGAAGGGCTTCATGCGATGAGGCATCCAGATTTACTCCCCACGGTTGCATGTGATGATGTAAACATGGCGGTGCACGGGCCACCGCATGTACATTGTTTATTCTGCCTGCATGAAACACAAAGGACGCACCTTCCGGTGGTTATTCCGGATTTGCGTCAGAATATCCTTGGCCACTGCATGTGTCATTTGCGGAAGCGAAATGAATGTTTGGCTCTACTCGAAGGAGAGGCGGTAGCCCACATGGGTGAGATAGGATGGGGAGTAGATCTCTCGCTGGAGGCGCAGCGGGGGGAACTGGAAAAAAAGGCAGAATGTGAGGGACGACATGGTTGTTTTATTGCTTCTGCCAGCACTGCAGCCTGCCCTATTGTTGTGACGTACTGTGCGCTGTGTGACCAACTGGCTCCGTTGGCGACATTTGTTACAGTACCGAAGGAAACGGAGCATGACGGTAACAAAAAAGACAACGAGCAACGACAAGGCTTGGAGGAGGAGGAGGAGGAAGAAAAAGAAGAGGAGGCGAAAAGTATGGAAGAAGCTGAACTTATACTGGCACGTATTTTGTTGGCATGTGAAGTGCTATATTTGCTGAGACGCGAGAGAGCTCAGGCAGGGCGTGTGTCATTGCCTCACGTGCAACAGGAGAAGTACATTTTCCTTGCGACACCACTTCTTTTTGGTGAGGATAGAGAGGAGCTTACGGATGCCTTTGAGAGTGGGGCGATGGCCACGTACGGTTCCGTCATTCTTCCAATGGCAAATGTGAGTGGCACACCAGAGGCGCCGCGTTTTTGCCTGATGAACAGAGAAGCAACCGTGCATTTTCTGCGGGGCCAGCTTCCACCGTACCAGTTCACCGATGCGGTTGTGGGGTTTGTGATGGAGTGGCCCACGGAGGCGGAGACGAACGAGAAGGTTGAGTGGGTGCTGCGGCACGATGGCGGCCTCAACGTGCAGCGGCGTTTGGTGTACGTGGAGGACAGAGACGAGTGGGTAATTGCACGTGTGTTTTACCACCAAGAAACGGCATCTTTGGAGAAGTGTAGCGAGAGTAGAGTGGACCGCATGTATGGCGGTAGCCTTCGCTTGCGGAAGGATTGCAGTGTCGTCAAGATGGTACCGGTATCACTCTTGCAGCAGTACACACTTCAAGACCACTGTGGAAGAGAGGACATGGCTCCTTGCATGAATAATGATAATAACGAGATGGAAAATAAGGTCGATGCCATTGTGATGGAGGAGGAGGAGGAGGAACCAATGGGTTGCCCGTACAGTATGGAAGCCAGAGCAGTCCATTTCTTTGCAGGCATGACGGCGTTGGCCAAGGCGATGAAGATGGTGGCAGACCACGTGAAGGAGCACCAGCCGTAATGAGTACTCCAAATGAAAAGCAAAAAAAATAATGTTTCACGTGTCGCAAGACGCTTTTGCGTGGCGTTTAGTTTTGATCACACGGAATGGATTCCTCTCATGCACCTGTTTTTTTTTGTTTGTTTTGTTTTTCCTTTTATTATAATAATAATTATTATTATTGGTGACGCTTTTATCTCCACTCTCTCCGTAATCTTCAACTGTCTCCTCTCACTTGCTTCCGATGACATGTGAGGGGAGAGGAAGAGAGAGAGAGAGAGAGAAGAAAAAAAAAAAAAAAGGAAACACATACAAATAGGAATTCTTCTGTACATGGAAAAATATCTGCATCCAGTACCCGATTTAGAGGACGATCGTTTTGGAGTTGCTGTTAGCGATCCCATGGAGGCGCCAGAAGGGTTGTCCCCGATGACATGTGGGGAACTTGCCATTGTCCCATCGCCCTCTGAAATGCAAATAGCATCACGATCGGAAAATTACACGGCGCGGCGAAGTCAGTCACCATATGGGCCATTGTCTCTCTCTGGAGTCTGCCCCACATGTCACCGTCCGCTGAGTGAGGGTGTTGCGGAGAGCTTTTCTTTGCCTTCCAATGAACGTCGTTTTACCCCTCAGTATTTCAGGACGCTGGTTCAGGCACACAAGCAGCATCTTTCCATCTGCGAAAGTCCCTCGTTGCATCAGCGGCGAGAGGAAAAAGAAAAAACGGAGACATCACAGCAGATACGGATGTCAGCCGGGTTACGGAGAAAAAGAAAAGTCCATCTTGGCAACGAGGAGGCGGAGGAAGAAGAAGAAGAAGAGGAAAAAGAAGAAGCGAGAGTGACAGATAGATTTAAAGAGGCAAATTCCAAATTAAAGGGATCTCCGAAAGGGGAAGATGTGACCGTTGGCAGTCCAGGTGATAACATTAACAATGGTAATACTACTAGTAATAGTAGTAGTAGTAGTAGTGGTTACTATAAATGTTACTTCAGAGAAATTCAAAAACTTGGCAATGGGACGTTTGGTGGTGTATATCTCTGTCAACACGTCATGGAAGGTGTCGCACTTGGGTACTTTGCATTGAAAAAAATTCCCGTTGGCGACAATGCTGAATATCTACAAAAGGTATTACGTGAAGTGCGCATTCTTGAGGAGGTCAAACGGCATCCAAACGTTGTAGAGTATAATCACAGCTGGGTGGATATTGCACAGATAGCCGATTTTGGTCCACCTGTGCGATGCCTCTTTATTCTTATGGAGTATGCGACACTGGGGTCACTGGACTCGTATCTTGAACGTCATGGCATGGCGTTGCCAACTATAGCCGTTTGGTATTTTTTTCTTTCCGCTCTAGTAGGAATTGTCCATTTGCATCAGAAAAATATTCTTCATCGTGATCTCAAACCGCAGAACCTCCTCCTGACAGGAGCGCCTGAGAAACCACCGCGGGTCCTCGTCAGTGACTTTGGAACTGCCACACTTCTCAATGAATTGTCGTATGAGCGGACGGGTGGGACAGGGACCATCGAATACATGGCGCCTGAGCTCTTTGAGTGCACTCCAGAGAGCGGTGGGGCGTACATCCATCCGCACACAAAAGCAACAGATGTTTGGTCTTTGGGTATGATTCTGCACTACCTTGCCTGCAGTGGAACGTTACCAGCCCGTTTGCCTAATGGGGAAGTGGTATTAAATGTGGAGGAATGTGCTCCGTACGCACGACCGCCGGAGATGATAGAGCTTATTCGTGTCATGCTGCATCGCAATCCAAAGGAGCGTCCCACATGTAAAGAGTTGTTGAATTCTACAGTCGTGCAAACGATTTTGCGTAGTTTTGAGAAGGCGAAGCTTTCCACGGATATTCTTCCGACAACTGCTGTCGCTGCTGCTGCTGCTGCAACTGCCTCTTGGCGTCAAAAAAAGAGGAATCAGACTGGAGAGCCGATGCATTTGGATTGTCGAGGTTGTGACCCACCCAATCCAAGGTTACAAGATGGGGGTGCTCCTGATGATAATGAAGGGGAAGGGATTTTGCAATATCCACACTCACCAGTGGTGGAGGTGCCGCTGATGTTGCAGTATAAAACAATGGAGTTGAAACGTAATATATCCGCCGGTACCCGTGGGGGCAACAAAGGACGAAAACTGACAACGGTAGACCGAGCCGTACAGACAGATTACGTCAAAATAGTGTATGAATAAGGATGCGTTTTACCTTTGTGTGAGTACTGTTGTTGTTTTATTTTTATTTTCTTTTTTTTTTTTCTTTTCTTTTGCTCTCTCATTGGTTTTTTCGTATTCCTTTTTTAATACCTTTCAAGAATTGTGTTGTGTGGATAATATATGCGAAGGTTGTCTGTCGTGTGTGGGTCAGGTGCACCGTGGAAACTCCTTCTGAGTTTTAGGAGTAAATTATATGCTTTCATCTTTAATTGTATAAAAGTTGTTCTTGGAAATTTAAGTTAGCATTGAACTCAAATACCATAAAAAAGAGGGTGATCCTCATCAAGTGAGTACTTATATATATATATATATATATATATACGTGTGTGTTGAGGTTATTGCGGTTTATTTCAATTGTATATGTTTATACATTATATATATATATATATATATGTACCTGTGGGTTGTTTCCGTGAGGTAATTTTACGAGAAATTGCTTCTTCTCTCATTGGCATATTTACTACCGTTTTTTTTTTTTTTTTGGTATTATTTCTCTCTCTCTCTCTCTCTCTCTCTCTCTCTCTCTCTCTCTCTCCGTGATGAAGGTGAAGACGTAATTGACTTGTACGAATGCGTAACAGCTGTGTGTATAATTCTCTTTATTGATGCAAGTTGGTGGCGTTCCTTTTTTTTTTTTTTTTTTGTTGTTGTTGTTATTCTTCTCTCGTTGTAAGGCCGGGGCGGTGGGTGGCGGAAACAACAAAAAAAGGGTGTGTGTGGGGGAGGGGAGGAGGAGAGGGAAGAGGTGGAAAGGTGGAGAAGAAAACATGGTGACTGGGCGTTTGATCGGCGTGGCGTTTGCCATTCCGTTGCTTGGGGCTCTGGGGTGGACGGCGTACACCAGCAGGGGTGTGCGAAATGTCGTTGTGAGGAATCCGCTGGATATATCGCCATATTGCCGCGAGGCGGCTGCAAGGACGAGGCGGAACGGTATTTCGTGTCTGATTTGTGCGTTCGAAGTGCCTGTCGTGGTTTCAACAGCGAAAATGCGACGTGAACTCGCAAGCCACCCATCCGATGGGGCACTCTATGCATTGCATGCTCTGCTGTCCGGCTGTTTTATGCGTGTGGAAGTGATTGCGACTGCCTTCACGTCGCGTTGGCGTCTGTCTGATGCGTATATCTGTTGGAGATCGGTCAGCCGGTCTGTCCTTGCTGAGAATCGTCGTGTGGCGATACAGCAGAAGCAGCAGTGGTGTCATGACACGAGTAGTTCCGTTGACTTATCCTCAACATATGGAGAGTGGGAGGTGCTCTGTGCGCAGAATGAGAATTCTGATGGCCATAAGGAGGCTGTGTTAACGCATGGGCCCGAAGCGATTATTGTGTCGCTTGAGCCGGTCGTTGAGGGAAGTCGTCAGGCGGTGCTCCGTCTTTGTTATTTGGTGCAGCCCTTTGATGGGTTTGAAAGAAATACGATGGCAGAGCGAGTGGCGTTGTGGGGTGCAGAAAAATACGGCAAGTTGTTGACAGCACAGACGGCATACGCCCTTGAAAAAATGGAAACGTTTTGATTGTTTGCATGCCGTTTAGGCCTATCGCCCCTTTTACCCATTGATAGGGGGGGCGGGCAAATTATACATATATATATACTTAACATTGTGTGTGTGTGTGTTGAGTCCTTTAGGCTGATGCTGTTTACACGAAACACGTCCTTTCGTCTTATTTATCATTGTCCTTTCCGCCTTCCAATTTGTGGAGGCAGCAAAAAGGAAAATAGATAGATACATAGAAGGAACAGAGGAACACAGAAGAAAGTCTGGGGAGGTGGGGAAGAGAACAACACGGAACCACGGAAAAAAAAAAAAGAAACGTCATCCAGCTTGCTTCACACATGGAGAGTGTAGACACACGGCGTTATCAATCCTTTCAGCTTCTTGAACTTTTTATTGATCTCATTCACGGCGATCTCATTCGCGGTGACGTCGCCTGCCGCCGCGTAGCGGATGCTTTCGTCTCGGCGTATGAAGATGCCATCCGCTGGCTTGTCACGGAGGAGAACACATTTACCCCCGCACTTAAGGGTGCCATCAACACGTATTGTGCAAGGCACGTTATTCGTACAGCACCGGAGCTTCTCATCGTCTCAGAAAAGGCGGTGGGGGCGTATAAACAGATTGCTGACGTGTTATGTGAGACGGAGGAACTGTCACATATGGGCAAGGCGATGGCATATGAGTTGTCGCATTTGAAACGTCGCCTTGAAACAAAACGTTTTTCCAGGTTAGTTGACCTTATGGCTGACGTTGTCGTTGCGTACATGCAAAAGGCATTCCAGCAGCACGAGGAAGCAAAGGCGTCGTGTATGCATTTACAAAAGGACCCGGCATTCTGGGTGTCTGTAGAGAAGTTTTGTACGTCTCCAACACGTATAGAGAATGAATATATCACTATGGATAAAAAGCGTCAGCGAGAGGAGAAGAAGGAGGAGGTACTGCAGGTGGATAAAAACAGACTCTCAAAGGAGGCACCAGTGCGTGGCTTCTCAGAGGAACTCCGTCTTGCCATATCTTCCCCCATAAAGAGTCACACCACACAAGCTATCAGTACTCGCTTTATCGCATGTGCCCAACCGTCGCCATCTCCTCCGAGCATCGCGGAAACAGAAGAAGAAGAAGAAGCAACGCGAAGCAAAGAGCCTGTAAAATGCACTGGGCGTGCTTTACTCCAGGCGAATGATTCGGTGTTGGCAGCCGTGGAAGGCATGGGAAAGAGAGATTTTCAAACGGCGCAGGATGTCAGCAGTGGCTTTATTGTGGCGGATGACTCGGGAGTATCTCTCATGCCCGCCCCATCGACCATGCGGAAGGGTGTCATGGTCGCAGGGGGTCTAAACGAAGCTGACGCATCGCTCCTTTCTGATGATGTTCACGTGAGGAGCTATTTTCTCTGCGCAAAAACGAATCGCTACGAGCCTCAGGCTTCTTGGGGATCTCTTCCATAATCATATGTATCGTCTTTGCTGACGTACACTCCTTGTTTTTGCCTCTTTTTCTCTTTATCTCTCTCCTTTTTGGGTGTTTATTGGAGAGACGTTTTGTATATATATATATATATATATATTGAATTGTCTCCTTCAACTGCTGTTCTCGGCGTAAAGGATTTGATATTTCAGACACGAATGTGTTGGCTGACGCGTGGATGGAGTTGATGTAAATATTTCCTTCGCTGTTTTTGGTGTTGTTTCTTCCTGCTGCCACAAGGGTGAGCTGAATATATATATATATATATACATTGGCGAGCAAAGAAGGCATAATTGGGGGAGCGGAGAGAAGATCTTAGCCGATGATTTCGCTTCAAGCGTTTGCTGAGAGCGCCTACGTTTACGCCGCTCCGGCCACACAGGATTACGTTCAATCGACTGTCTTTACACCGCTTGGATTTGGTCCATCCTACAGCTCCATCTTTGCGTTTCCACCATGCACCACGAACCTGCGTTTAGTAGGAACAGGGACGCGAAGTCTGGCGACGCAGGCACATGCTTTAGCTGTTTATTTGCAGGAGGACCGGGGGTTTAGCGTGAAGACCCTGCATGAGTGGGGCATGCCGTACTGTCTCAGCATGGTACCCAAGACGGAGAAGGGGGGAGAAGGAAAATTGATGGCGGCGGTAACGAGAAATTTTTTTCCCGGAGTTTTGGGAATAGGATTTCCCGTAGTTGTGGTGAACGTTGGTTGTGCCGAGGCCGTTCTGCGAGGCAGTGACGTATTTGCTCCAGGCGTGGTATCGTTCGTAGGTTCCTTCGTCGCTGGACAGGAGGTTTTTGTCGGTATGTACCTTCAGCCTGCCGGCGCAAGCACCTCAGCTGGCGGTGGAACGGATAGGAGAACTCTGTTGTTGTGCGTTGGTGCTGGAACTGCACTGATGGATCGCCGCGAGATTATTCGGGGTCGGCAAAACGGCGTGGCTGTTCGAACGAACTGGACACCGATGGCACAGCCATCGAAATCACTTCTATCATCAATGTTGGATGAAGCGGTGGCTACTCTTTTGAAGGCCGGAGCACCTGAAACAAGTAGTTTCTTTTTGCAGAATTATTCAAGCATGGTGGCTGTCGATGTTCTTGTACAGCAATTCTCCAGTATTGACATCCAGCGTGAAGGGCCGTTGGCGTTTTTGGATGCCTGTGCCGCACCAGGTGGCAAGGCAAGTCTTTTGTTGTCTTTGTTACATGAAAAGGTGCAGGGGTTGGATTCTTCCCTTGGAAAGAATGACAAAAGTTCAGATTCTGTGTTTCCTACGTTTACGTTAACATGCTGTGAACGCAGCAAAGCGCGTTATAAGCGACTTCTTGATCTTCTTGAACTTCATTTTGGGATATCGATTGTGAAACGTGTGGTGAGGCCCTTCTGTGGCGATGTCAACAAGTTGCAGAAAACGCAGTGTGATGAGGATGTGGATAGTATGTGGGAATGTGAGTTCCACGGCATTCTGTTGGACCCTCCCTGTACAGGTATGGGATTGAGGCCAAAGTTAAACTCGCATTTAATCACTCCACAAGGCATACGGGATTCGGCAGACTATCAACGGAAATTGTTTGACTCGTGTGTAAAAATGCTTCGGCGCACAGGAACATCTGTTCTGGTGTACAGTACCTGCACCATAACTCTTGACGAGAATGAAGCCAACGTGCTTTGGGCTCTTAATACATATCCGTTTTTGCGGCTTGCACGAGCTAAAACTAATGACAAGAGGAGGTTGTGTTTACTTGGTTCAACAAACTTTGCAAATGGTCGTCGATTTCTTCTGGAGGAGGAAATACAGAAAGCTCAGCGTCGCAATGAGCTTCTTGAATCGCACACCGTCTCAACGGAGCGTGGCGACACTGATGAGCCGGAGAATCCACTGATGATACTACGCTTTATGCCGGGTCTTTCAACCATGCCGGAGGAAGATGGAGTTGGGTTTTTTCTGGCCGTGTTTCTTTGTCACTATCATGCAGGTGAATTCCCGAAACACGCAGAACCATGACAATTCAGCGGCCGGGACATCCTCCTTTTCTATTTTTTTTTTTTTATTATCTTTTTTTTTTCCTTCTTATTCGTTTGTTTGTTTGATTGTTTTGTGTTTTGTGTCCCTCACTCTTTTCTCAGCGTTATTGTACGTTTAACTCTCTGTCGCTCCTCGTCCGTCTGAATTTCCCCCCCCCCCCCCGAGCGCGGTGCTGACTGAGGTCCGTGCCCTTTCAGCCTCGTGTGTTTGTTCGTTTTATTGAATTCTTTCTGCTTGTTGTGGATGTTTCTGCCGTTTTTGTTGTTTTTTCTTGTGTGTGTGTGTGAGGGAAGAGCGACAAGGAGGGGAAAGTACATTTATTGGCCGTGCGTGAAGGAATTGGGACCGGGGTGAAATTGTGGAGACTTTTCGGTGTGTCTTCCAAATGGGCAGCCGGGGCGAGGATGAGAATGAAGAGGAAACGCCGCTCGAGATTGAAGACTACTCGTGCAACACCCACTTTGAAGAAGTCGTTGGGGAAATTGAACGTTATCTCGTGGAGGAGTTTAGTAAACGACAGGAGCTGCAGCGGTTTCTTGTGAATCCATTGCATCCCCATCACAACCACGATGACAGAGACATGGCGGCAAGAGGCAGTGGTGATGGCGTTGGGGAAATTGTCTTTGGACGGAGCTTTTTCATTTTTCCTGAGGGCGGTTACGGCAGGGGGACGAGCAACACCGATGACGAGGGCATTGCTGTGGAAATTCATGTACAGAATGGCTTACGCGAAAATGGAAAGCGTCAACGACAACAAAAACTGCACCCAATCGCCCGTCTTTTTGCACTTCCATTGTTTTTTTTGGCACGAGGGACCACAACGGCACCGTCGTATCGCACCAGTGAGTCCTCTTTTTACCTCTCACTTCTCACAACCGCAGTGGGCCGGGTGTTGCGTGGTCCCCTTTCACTGCGCTTTGATGGTGACCCCTCGTGTCTACCATCACCGTTCTTTTACGCTAACGGTATGGCGCCGTGCTTTGTTTCAGTGGGAGATCATTATCAATTAGCCTTCAAAGGGGTGGCACCGCCGGTCATGGTGGGTCATGCAAAATGCAGCACAACGGAGCCGTGGACACTGCAACAACTCATTGCTCAACCTGTAGTGAAATGCCGATTTCACTGTAGCGCCTACCCGCATCCGCCAGAGTGGTGCCAAAGGGTATCGGACCAGCTGGATATGTTTCAGCTCCAGATTGGACCACAGAGCCGTGTCCAGACGGATGTGTTTGATGGCATTTGTGTATCTTTGCAGCGAACATTTCGTTTGAATGTGCCTCGGCGTTTTTTGGAGAATCATTATGCCGAAATTGATCCTAGCTCCTGTGGCGATGTAGAGGCAAGGAGTTCCACATTGTTGTGGCATGATATTTTGGAGCTTGAAAATGAAACTATGCTTCTTTCTGCAGGCCCAACGAACTTTCCCTTTGGTACCGGCACTGCCCCTTTACGGGGTATCGACTTTTGCTTTCAGTGGAACCAATTGCTGGATACTGAGGCACATGACGGTGGAAGGCGGAATTCCAACCTGAATCCATTTGCCCCAGAAGGAATGGTATTACAGAATAAGTTAACCATCCGAGCTATGGCGATTCCAAAGAAGGAATGTGAATTGAACCATACCGCGTGCAAACCTCTTTCGGAATACGTGTATATGGTGATGGAACATGTTTCACCAGGAGAGAATTTGCGGGAGGTGGAGGGATATTCTAATATTCTTACCTGTATAGCCGATGACATTGTCTTTGGTCATAAAATAGGCCTGGCGAGGCAGAAAGCACTTATTGATCGCCTGACGAGGCATGAGGGACAGAGTGAGAAAGTCAAAACGGATATTCGTCATATTTATTTTCCTGGTTCACTTCTTTGCCGTTTTGCATATGCGTGTGCGAATCAAATACACAATTTGGACGATGTACTTCCACTGTGGTTGTTGGTAGTGGAACACCTTGGAGATTTACTTGAAAGCAAGGGTGAAAGACGACAAGCTCTAGAGGAACTCATTGGAATCATTGGAATCCCAGACGTGGAGGATATTGATCATGGATTGCCGTTATTGGTTCAGAAATTGCAACTGCTTTCCTATTGCGCAAGGCGTATGTTGTGTGAAAGTAAATCTGTTGCGGTCAAGCAACCCGCCGATGGTTGGGATGACGACATGGACGATTTGGTTTCACACAGTAGAGGTGAAGCTTCTGCAGCCGATGGCGAGTGTTCAGGGGATGGATTTCTCATCTCAGGAAAGTGTCTCATTACAAATGGTGAGCCGTTAGTGGAGCCAAAGGCACTTCCCACCCCTCCGTGCACATCGGATGTGATGATGATGAAAGCACAAGAGCTGCAGAATCTCGGTACGGAATCGGCAGGGCGGCACACTCGTGCATGGATTCAGAGTGAAGGACTTTTTAATGACATGTGTTTATTCCTGTATTTCAACCGGGCTCAAGAAGGGCGTGTGGTTCGTTTTCCGGATTTTGTTCAGTGGCATAGTCCACGCGACTTTATTCCGCCCTTGTGTGACTCGAAAGAAAAAAAGGACGACGATGATGCGTACTTGTCTGAGCGGATGCGGCGCCATTCCAACGCTGAGAATGGATTGGTGAATATATGGTGGCCATTGTGGGAGCGAGCCACTCCTCGATCGCCGGAGGAGATTATTGCTCAGTCGTTTGTTCCCCATGAACAGGCTCGACTTATTATTCGGTGGATGGAGAAGGAACTCTCCGCTGCAGAAATTCTCATTGAGACTGTACACGCAAATTTCACTAATTCCCTGCATCGTATCCTCTCCCATCGCTGCATGGAGGGCAATCGGGAAATAGCGGCATATGCGCAATGTAAAAACGAAACCATCGCAAAAAGTATTAAAGCGGTGATGCAAACGGATGACAGTGCACCTTTAGATAATGAAGGTATTCGCACCATCTACTGCAGTGCTATTCGTCAGATTGGGGAAATTGAAACGTGTTTATGTGCTGCCTTGGCGATTGAGCGTATGTTGGGTGCGTCCCACGGTATCAATGACGCCGCGCCACCACCCACCGGTGAGCCATGCACATCCATGGGACAACTCATCGCGACACTTGCCTCCCCGATTGCAGAAAAAGAAGACGACCACAAGGAACTCGCATTAGTTCAGGCTTCATTAAATTGGAATCTATGGCAACGCGGTGGCATTGCAAATCGTTTTACTGAAGACGATCAGAATCCAGTGACGATGCGGCTTCGTGCCACGTGCATGGCAGAGAGGCCTTTAAATACAACGGCATGCTTTCAACAAATGTTTGCTGAGATGGATGAAACAGGCGTGTTCCGTGTAGCGTTGGCGCTAGCGGACGAAGTTCTGTAAAAAAAAAAAAATAAATGGAAATTACGGGTGTGTGTGATCACAGTGCGTCCATGTCTTGTTGTCGGGTTGTTGATTTTTCTTGTGTGTGCGTGTTTTTTTTTTTTTTGTTGTTGTTGTTGTTGTTGTTCTTTTCTCTCTCTCCTGTTCTCTTTTCGGATCTCACCCTTTTTTTTTTTTTTTGTCACCACGTAAGGCCAATCCCCTACTGTACCCCACACACAAATAAGAAAAGATGACTGACATTGCTCTTTGTACTATTATTTCCGGCAGCTTTATTGGCTCCATCTATGCATGGCCAAAGGAACATCGATTTGCACGCTTATGCATAAGAAATCTGAAAGAAGCATCAAGAGATGGGCCCCACCGTGTCATTCGCGATGATCCTTCAACCATTCGAAGACGCATGGTGTCTTTCGTGGGTGCCACTGGAATGAGCATGATGCTCCTGGAAAACCTTCTTCGAAAGGAACCTGGAGATTGTCAAGCACTGTTAGGTAGCTCTCTCTTGCGCTACATCATTTGCTCCGAAAGGTCAATTTCTCAGTCAATGGCTCAGGTTGCTGAAACTGGCGTGGCGACGCTGCTGCTATTTAGTGGTCCTTTTTTGGAGGGTGTTCGATTTCCCAGGTGGTCGGACACGGATCATATCATTTTCTTTAGAAACTATATTTTGGCCCCTTTTGGAGAGGAGATATTCTTTCGGGCACTGCTCTTACATCTTTTAAGGCGGCGGTCGGTGGCATCTTCAATTGTCATCTCCTCCATTTTTTTTGCACTTTGCCATACGCATCATATCTTTACAATAGCCGCGGAAGAATGTCAAATCGCAACAGAATTGGATGAGCCTGATACCGGTGTGCTCATTTACTGGAAACGAGCAGCGGGGAATCTCACTGGCGTGCTTGGGTGTACTTTTGTGTATGGTTTGCTCGGCGGTTACTGCTACACAATCGTTTGTGCAAAAAATATTCTCGCTACGATACTTTTCCATTCCATATGCAACATGCTTGGGCCTCCGCCGCTACGTTTTATTAGCGAAGGCTCACTGAGAAAACGGGCCCTGCGGGCCATTGTCTACGTAGCGGGGGTTGTTGGATGGGCGGTTGTGCTCTCCAAAATGCGGCGGCGATAAAAGATTGCCCGGACTGGAAAGGAAAAAAATGAGTGGTGTGTATTCTCTTGTGTGAGTGTTACTTTTATAAATAAACATATTTTTTCGGCGGAATCTTTTGGGGGGCAAAGGAGGAAGTGGGAAGAATAGAACCCTTCGCCGTTGGAGATGTTGATGTCACTTAAATTCACTTTTTTCTTCTCTCTTTTTTTTTTTTTTTGACTGTTTTTTTTTTTTTTCTCGACTTATGGTGCACGGCGTCGTCGTTGGGCGAGATAACCCCGTTGCCTGTCGGAGCATCTGGGGCGACTGCCTCTCCTCGGGCGACGGAATCTTCTGCGGTGCAGCCGAGTCAACATCCTTCGGTGGTGTGGCGTGGCCGGGATCAATGCTCTCCGCAACAGGGACGGATGCCCCTCGCAATCCTTGTTCAGTAGATGCCGGTGGAACCGTCCTGCTCCACATGCTCTCTCCTCGCCATCACACGGAACCACTGGAAGTAGGCTGCCGGCTGTGGCGGATATCCTGCACACCTCCGCGTGGTCAGGGCGAATAACGCTTCCCTCATCTTAGGGTGGAGTGGCCCACGTAATCGTCGCTCCGTCCGTGCATGGGACACAACGGACGTTACCCTTTTCGACCACTCTAAGACGCACCTGCATGCCGGGACACCTCAATGCCGCATGCATGGCAGCAATCAGATATGTATCCTCCGGGTCCCTCGCATCCGTCGTGTTCGTGGGAAGCGTGTCCAGACACCACGAGGAGGGCTCATCCCCAGGCATCACAGACAAACATTCTCCCCTCCAAATAACAGCGTCAGCATCCCTCAGATTCAGTGCGGGGTCAGTGACGGGGCAACCGTCCATCGGGCGTTTTGCTGACATTTCATGGACACTCCCCAAAAAACAGCCACTGAAATACCGATCCGACGCGCAGCATTTGACGGGACGCCCAATTCGCACAGCATGTAGCGATATTCACTCATGTTCAGTGCAGATCAATTCCTCTGCAGCAGCACAACTTCGTGCACCAACGCATCGGCTCCGCCATATTCCACCTCACCCTCATGCAGCCCAGGTCAGCCGATGCGGCCAGCGTCAGCTCCGTGCAGTCGCCGACACCCCCAATCGGTGCCATCCACTCATCCCTCGCTTGGCGCTGCCACCAGTGCGACTCCAGCGTCCTCCCGTCCCCATCGTCATCCTGCAGCTCCATGCCATCAACGTCGTCGCAGTCGTGGTGCTCCCTCGCTGCCATAGCGGCATTCGTCGAGTGCACCACCACCGACAGCGCCCCGCCACACACACACAGGCAACATTCCTCACCATGCTGCGGCTGGCCATGTGCGGGCAGGCGAACCCGAGAGCATGGGTCATAAAGTGCGCGGCGATGCGGGTGGCAACGCGTCGGTGAAATAAAACTTCCGGGCAAAGTGCATGGCGCCAGCAACTGGACGGCCATCCTCCAGCGTGGCGCACGGCAGTGCCCACACACCACCCAGTGCCGCAGCCACGGACAGCACTGTGCCAGAATTGGGAACACCAGCGGAACAATGCACAGCAGGCACCGTGAACCGACTGCAAACACTGCCCGTGGCGAGTGACGGCACAACCAACGGACGCTCCAGTGGCTGGACGAGCAGACGATCCGCATGCAGTTGGACAGCAGCAGGGATCGCCTCCTCGGCAACAGCGTTCTCGTGCGCAGACGACGCAACGCCATTCTTGCAGGCAAACGCGCCGTCCAATGCATTCTCTGTGCAACAACAGGAGAAGCCGCAGTGCCTCCTGCTCTCACACGGCTCCGTTGTTGACGCCTTGATGCGGACTGGCACCCATCGGTCCCTCCAAACGACGCTGCACACCTGCAACGCATCCTGCGCTCCGAGAGGCACGTCTCCCACCACGCCCGGAGACGCCCACACGTCACGAAATCAGGAGTAATTCAGGGTGACAGCGAAGCATCCGCTGACAAATCACATCGCAGGCATCATCACAGGCGCCATCACTAGCAGAAGCGGTGGAGGTCGCGTGGCGACGTGGATCAACTGACGCATGAAATATATAGAAGAAAAACGTGGTTGCTTGACAAAGATAAAGAAGGCCTACACTTTCTCACCAACGAAAGAAACGTTAAGAGAATATAAAAGAGAGGATTCACGTGACAGCAGTCAAAGCAACCACAAAAATCAAAAAAAAAAAATAGGTGCACTTAACAACAATAAGGCAAAACAATAAAAAAAAAACAAAAGCCGAAGCGTGGGACGACCAGCACATACACTCATTGCTCCCGTAAAGCAAAACACACACACAAGGAGAGAGAGAGAGGTCGCCCACTCAATGCAATGAAAACAAAAAACAAAAACAGTTACGGTGCTCCGCCCATGCAGCCAGGCAGGACGGCAGCGGTGCGTGTCGTGCAAAAGAGAGCACCAACGGGCCTGCATGGGTGTGCATGCATATATACAATGGGCACATTATGTGTGTGCTTCGTGGGATGAGGTGAGGGCGAGAGTCCATGCAAGGGGACACACACAGAGTGAGTGAAGGACGAGTGTGTGTGTGCGGGCGGTGCATGGCTCTCTCTCCCTCACTCTCACGCGGCCAACACCGCAGCAGCAGCCGCACACACAACAACAAGAAGCAAAAGCAAAAAAGGGGAGGTGGTGTGGGAGGCCGCGGTGCTGCCGTCACTGTCGTCAGGCGTCGCTGTGCCATTTTTCGCAGCTGCGGCCTCGTCTGGTGTTTTTTCCGTCGTATTATCATCCTCAGTTTCGCCTTGTTGTGCTGCTTCTGGTTGCGGCACTGACACGCCATTCGCAGAGCTGCGCTGTTCATTCTCTGGTTCTGCTTCTGGATTTCCTTCCGATTCTTCTTGTCTCGTCAACACCGCCGGTGCTTTTTCTCCTTCTGCCGTTACTTTGGGTACATTTTCTTTATTGGCTGGAGGTGGCGTGGGAGAGCTGTGGGTGCCTTCACCGTCCTTCGAATCTCCAAGGGGCAAATTGGGGTCCGTGTCTCCGTCTTCTGTTTGATGGCCGCTGTCAAGTTTCTCACCACCAGTCAAATGGGCTTGATTGGCTGTGTTCGGGCCTCCATCGCCATCATTGTCGGAAGTTGAGGCTGGACCAGGAGTCTCTTCAGTTTTCTCAGAGGATTCGTTGGATCGAGAAGAGTCGCCAGAAGAGGCTGACGCATGTTGGGATGGACTCAAAGAGGACTGAGCACCTCCCTTATGTGAATCTGTTACGGAGTTCGTAGTTCCGTCTGCACCATTTCGTGAGACGTCACCGCCATTTCCAGTCGAACCAGTGGAAGAATCAAACAATCCCGTAGATGTCGAATCCGTCTCACCCAAATACCGAGATCGAATTGAACTGTTATATACACTCTTGTACTGACTGTGACTAAAGCAGGATTTATCATCGCCTTCACATTCCTTGTAGGGCCACGCGTAGCCACCGCCGGCACCGCACCACAGCACGCAGAGGGCACACACCAGCAGCACACGGCCAGTCATCATCATCGCCATCACTCCTGTCACTTGCGTGTAGCCTTCAGCACAAACCAACATCCCGTCAACGCAGAGCGGAAGCAAAAGGAGAGAAAGGTCACACCACACACCATGAGACAGATGGAATCAGTGAAAGGCGAAAACACACACATACAGCCCCGCAGCAATTAATCAGCAAGAAAAACAAAAAACTAGTAAAAGAACAAAAAAGTGGGAGGACAAAAACAAGGAGCTGCAACGAATGACTCCAGCGTAAAAAAACCACACCCAAGGCTCCACGGGACATGCGCATGAGTGTGTCTGCGACGCGTTCAACGTGACGGATGTGGTGCACAACGCGGAGCACACAGCAGGGCAGCTAAAGCAAACAAAGCAAAAAACGATCATCATAATTACTCTTACTTTATACATCGGACCACAGTAGACGTACACATGTCCCCGTGGCTGAGTGCTGGCACGCACAGCCCACGCTCCCTTTTAGCCCACAGCGGCGCACGCCAGCGCGGATACGGCGAGCAGCAGCGGGGCACACACCCACGCAGAGCTGCTGAGGCTGCCGTCGACTTCGCGAAGACGTGACGGTGCGCGGGTGGTCGTCGTGATTGGCGCCTCCGTATTTGGCACTTTTTTTTTTTCTGACGTGATGTCTGTGACGTATGATTCTCAGCACCTTGTGGATATTCCTCCGCCTATTTATTTTGTGCATCTGACTTACCGGTCGCACCTTATGTGTGTCGAGACTGCGTTGCCAAACCTGGTGACTCTGGATTATCGTTAGCAAACTTAGTGGCTGTGGCGCACCCGGTGTGTGTCCAGTAATGGCTGTACCTGCTTCCTTTGGCAAATAAGGTCCTTGACTTCCTAAAACTTCCTCACCGTTTCTCCTACTCTCTGTCTGTGGCCTGCCAGTTTCTCCAACCTCTGGCTGTAATGAATCAAGCGCATTTCCTGTAAAATCTGGTTTCACTAGCTTAGGGTTGAGATGACTGCTGTCATCATTATTATCGCCTCCTCACGCCGTCACGCACACGGACGTGCAGCAGCAGCACGAGAGCGCAAGGACCTGCACGGCGCACACCACACGGAGCCGCATCGTCATCATCGCAGTCATCGTCACCCGCAGTGGAGTCGCTGCAGTCAGTGAGTCGATCCGTGAGCCAGAAGAAACGGAATGGAACAGGAGGGAGAAGGACGGAGCGCAGCGGATACAGCGAGGAAGAGAGCAGACAACATGAGGAGAGGGCAGCAGGCCCAGCCGCACAGTTCACACACCACGAGACGGCATCCACGCAACGAAGGCACACAACGCCAGCAGCCACCCACCATGCAGGAGGAGAAGACATCCACCACCATCTCCCCCAGCTCATCGCTACAGCCCCAGAGAAATGTCAAAAACCCGCGGCCACCACACCAGCCACACGCGCAAGCGAACCCTCATCCATCCATGACGCGGCACCAAAATTTCCAGCCATCCCGCCCTCAATGGGACACGGAGCCCAACTCAACGCAGTCACACGCGGTGCACCACACCCGCAGGAAAAGAGACTCGGGCTGCGCACTCCCTCTGCTCCCTTCTCATCATAGCCACGGAAGAAGACAACAGCCGCCACAAGCAACTGCCAGCATGCACCACAAAAGGAGCATTCAAATCCACTGCAATGTGCATCTTGTGTGTGTGGTTGTGTGTGCCTGCAGAAACACAAAGCAATAAAGAAGTAAAAAAGAGGGAGCAGAGTATGTGGAGAGACGCACAACAAAAATGTGCAGCAGAGACGCATGGCGGAAACAACAAGAAGACCGCTCAAACTCATGACTGCACTGCAGCCCAGGCAGTGGCAATTCACACAAAATTTATTTAAAACAAAAAAAAAAACGTCCCCCTTCGTCTTATACAAACCCCATCACACAAAATAATTATAAATGAAAAAGAAATCGTCCATTACTGCTCCACACAAATTTAAAAATCGCCTGGCTGCCGTGTGGCCACACCAAACTGTCTGTACATATTTTGCCCGCAAAAGAAAATTGAAAAGATGGTTGCGTGTGTTTCGACCGTCTGACCCTCCATGTGTCCGCACATCGTTTATATTTCACGGGGTCATCTGCGTGTTGCTGCTCCCCTCAGCCCTCCCATCGGCGTGCGAGTGCGGCCTGCAGAGCACAGTCACTCGTGTGTGTGGGGACTGAGAGAAGCACGCAGACATGACGGGAGTCGCGTCTCTCCATCGGGAGAGTGAGCGCAGCAAAAAAAAAGAAAAATCAACAGGAGGGAGAGAAGTGCTGACGGGACTGCCAGCGCGTGAAATAAACACGAAAAGCAAAAAAGAAAAACACGGCGG